CCCTTGAAGCACACACTATTCTCTGATATTGTGTATGTGTTTTGTTTAACTCTTACCTTTTGTAGAGAATGGGGACAATTCCAGCTTTGTACTGAGCAATGGTGAGAAAGGCAGGTTGAGCCATGTCAAAGTGAGGTCTTGGTGGGTTGCACCAACCTCCATTATCACTTGCTTGAGCAAAGTTTGGTGGACAAAAGTTTGTGGCAGTGATTGTGATTGATTTGCCTTTAAGACACCATTGTGGCACTTTGGTCGCATCGCAGACAATCTGGTAACATCCTCCACAAGACTTGCCGTCGTTGAACAGCGCCGTGCTTAAAGCCGCGGTGTTTGTCTTGTAACCGTCGGTGTATAGATTTCCATATCCACAAGCTCCACCTGAAGAAGAAGAAGAACAAAAATCTATGAGAAGGTTTCTTGAGGAAGAAGAAAGGTTTTTAGAACCGAATTTAACTAAACCAAAACGGGATTTTCAAAAAGTGAAACTAAACCTTACTAAAAACCAAATTTTGTACAACTAAACCGAATCAAATAATTTCGTTAAAAATTATTTCAAGTTTAGGGTGTTGGTTATTTTTCCAAATCGAATAAACCAAAAAAATCAAATGTTAAACGGAACCGAATTAAACAAAAACCAAATGTTGACCTATAGTTTATGAGACTTACCCATTGTACCAGAACCATCACGTTCACCATAGAAGGTCGCATGAGCTTGCAACCAACCTGCAGAAACTGAGCTCATCTTCATGAAGAACATTGTGGAGAAGACAACTACAACCAAAAGAGAGAAGATCTTCATTTTTATTTTTCAATTTCTTAGGGGGTTTTTAACTTTGATTCTTTCGTTTGATCAAAGAAGAAGTTGATGATTATTGTGTTGGATGCATAAGACTTATGCTTCAAACATGTATTTATAGTAAAAATCACAGAGCTTATTTCATTTAAGATATACGTATAAATTAATTATATATGAGTTTGATTAGCAGAAAAACGTTGAAACTAATAATATGATTTGGTGATGATTGATACAATGATTATAAGAGTGCGTAAAATACGGAGTTTTCAGGCCTACGATTATTCAGTTTACAAGGCATGTGACTATAGGTAGTTGAATTTTAGTTTCTTCTATGTATTATATATTAAACTTTGCTCTCTTTTCCTGAATTTAAGATTGTTTTTTCTTGTCAACCCAATTTTATAAGTTTTTTATTGGTTTTTTTTTTAGTAGAATGGTAAAACGGCGGTTAGTTCAAAATATAAATAGACAAGTTGTCTTAATAATCGGCAATGCATATGATTAATGTAGAATTCGAATATATGTAATGGGGTTTTGTTGAAAATTCAACGTACGACATCAATTGATAAGTGCTCCTCCATTTACGCTCGTAAATAGATGATTTATTAATGTTTCTTGTTTTTAAAAGTTAATTGTATTGCTTATAAGACTATAATTTAAGTTCTATTCAGACCCAGAAAAACTACAAATGGATACTTTTTCTTGTAATTCAAGAAATAAAGTCAATCCACAAATAACCTCATAACATGTTGTAATGGTTTAAAAATATATATACAAATCTCTTTGGTGTTCCTTCGCAAAGATTATTTAACTTCTTTAAGGTTAATACAGATTGCTTAATTAGTTATAAACGAAGAAACAATTTTACAAAAAAAAAAAAAAATTAGATATAGAATGAATGTTTAAATGTATATAGATACTTTTACCTAACCTTGAAATTTATAATTAAGATGGTCGAAGTCAAACGTTAATAATTATATAAGTAGTTAACATTATCAGTTATGTAATATAAATTAAATTAAAGATACCCTAATATTATTGCATTGATAATGGTACGTCCACGTACTTATCACATGGGTGATGCACTTATTCCATTTGATAAACTCACACATGGATCCACCATTATCCATTTCAATAATTAATAAATTTCATAATTTATAGGTACTTCAACTAAAAAAAAAAGGTACTTTCAACTAATCAACAAATCGAATTAAACGAAATTAACTGACTATACGGCAAAGGAAATAAAAGTACCATTGTACAGTACGTATAAGAGTATAGCTTAAGACACTCTATGTTATATATAAACCAAGCAATAATATTATTCGAATTTTGTGATAGATTAGAGGATTAAATATCGCCACCGTCACCGACCTTTATCTCAGTTTTAGAATTAATATTTCAATTACGAAACTGAAAGAATGTACGAACCTAAACACAGAATTTTAAGTATTCTTTAAAAAAAGATCATTCACAAAAATAGCATTGTAGTCAATAACCATATTATATATTGGGTTTGCTTGCATTGAAATTATTTATTTCTAAAACATTTTCACAGCCAACCGGAAAACAAGTTCTGGTCACCGGTATCTTTCATCGGAAACAAACAACCACAACATACATATTACAAACAACTTTTAAAACCTCTTTGATCTTAAACCGAAGCAACCGAAATATCATTTGAACCGGTAATATCCTTGAACACATTCTTGCTTGAAGGCAAACCAGCCACTGGTTCATCTTCAATTCCACATTCATTTGTTCCTCTCCTTATCATGAAATAACCATCCTGCAAAATTTCCATATATGTCAAAACAACATTCACATTTAAAAAAAAAAAAAACACAAATCTTGAAAATTATATCACAAATTAAAGAAACACTTACATCACCCCAGCTTCTGTTCCATTGATTTGCCAACAACTACAAAACAAACAAAAAAAACGTTATAAATTCCGGTTTTATTTCGAAATTTTCGATATAACGGTTTAACATTTACCCAATAATCTTCGCCATCATCGGTAGTTCCCCAGCCGATAAGTTTAACAGCATGACCTCCAATGTTAGAACCTGTTATATGCTTGTATACTCCAGATTTGTAGTGAGCAAAATCCTAATCAAAACAAACCAATTAATGATCCATGTTTTTTGTTACCAACTTAACCAAAATCTAAAGTTTTTTTATTCTCTAACCTCATAAACTGTAAAAGAGACTTCAACAGGTCCATTCTTATAAATCTCAGCCATGATGTCTTGTGGATTAGATTTAACAGTGTATGTACTAACACTGAAATGTTTGGATTCGGTCCATAACTGGTTTCCGCTAACGCATTTCCTCAAACATTTCGGTGTAGGATACGCGGGTTCACAACCCGGGTGAGAGCATCCGGTATTATCAAAGTATGGATCACACTACCAAAAAACAAACTTCAATCAAAACCAATTCCAAAATCTCAAGAATTTAGTGTTTTTTTGTTTTTTACCTCTTCTGTGACAACACCGCTATACGAAAAGTATTGCCAAGCAGCAATCGGGTAGCCACCGTCACAACCATCACCACAACGGAATCCACAACATGCTAAGAGATCATTCACTGATAAAGAAATGTTCTGAATTGGAGGGGGAAAAAAAAGCAAAACTAGACTAGATTAGTCTTTGGATTATTAAATCTTATTAAGCTGGTTTTTTCCTTTAATTGTTGATTAGGATTTTACCATTCCAAATTGGATACAGAATCTATCAGATAGTGATTCAACAGCACCAAATGCCCAACAAGAACCACAATGTCCCTAAAACCAAAACCACAAAATGTCAATAAAACCGATTTCTCTTTTTCGATAGAACATTACAAGAAACATAAAGATTGAAGCTTTACCTGATCTGTTCATAAGATCAGTCAACAAACACACACGAAAGTAAATAGTTAGTAACCGATAAACGATGAAATTGAACAGAACTTGTGGGGGAAAAATGAAGCTAAAGACCAAAACCAAACCTAAGATGTTTCCAATACTGGTGCACTGTGGCCAAGCGGTTCTAGCATCGAATTCTTTAGGTAACTTCAAAGATTGATCATGGCTTACAATAGGAACACCTAAGAATTGCTTCTTAGGTGCTGGTTTAACACCGAGAAGACGCTTAAACTCAGCAACCTG